TGTGTGTGTGGCCAGCTCAGCCCACCAGGGGGCGGGGCTGGCTGGCATGTGGTGCTGGGGATCGAAACCGCGGTCCCTGATGCTTTGCCAAGCTTGTTCCAAATAGGTGCTTTAGACCACTGAGCCATCTCTCCAGCCCCCATTAACACCTTTTGTCTTAAAAATAAACAGCATGTATGCCATAAATTCATTACCACTGTGCTAAACTGCAAAATATGTAGCATTTATTTTTTTAAATGTATTTGGTGTAGGGTCTCACTCCACAGCTCGAATTTATAGTGATCTTCCTGTTTTCAGCCTTCCCAGTGCTGAGATTATAGGCAAGCACCACCATGCCAGTTCTTGGTGGCCAGCTCAGCATGCCTGTGGTTTTTAACCCCAGTTCCTGTGCTTTCCTAGGAAGGCACTTAGCTTCTGAGCTATCTCACTGGCCCTTGTAGCAACTGTTATACAGCAATATATGTAAGTAACTAGTAAACTCCTCTCCTCCCATCTTTGGTTTAGAACCCATATCCTCTATTTTCTTAGCACCATGCATTTATCACATTGCTTCACAGCTGTTGCTTTTCTTGTGCCCCTGCACTGTAAGCTCTTGAGGACAAGCACTGGACGAAATGTTTCTTGTTGCTTGAGGGCAGATAGCAGGGCCTGCCAGTAGGAGGGTGCTGGGTAATACAGTATGTCTTGATTACTTTTTTTTTATTGTTGAAACAAAATACCCAGCACCCCAAATTAAGGAAGGAAAAGTTTATTTAGCTCGCAGTTTGTGGAGGTGTCAGCCAACAATCAGCTGGCTCCAAAGCAGGGTGGCACAGAACAGGGCCAAATAGTCCAAGGCAGCAGAAGACAGCAAAAGCAATAAGAGCAAAAGGGGAGAACAAGCACCTTTTACTCCCTTGTATTATAAGCAGGCAACCCCTTGATGTGGGCAGGCAATGTAGCACTCACGGACCCTGGCCCTCTGCTGAATCACTTAGTTAAACTTTTAAACTTAAGTTGACACAATGAACATCATTCTAAAGCAGTAAGGGCTTGTCCTTTTCACCCCAGAACTGCTGAGTTACTTAGTTAAACCTCTGGACTCCACAAGTTGACACAATGTATCAACCATAGCAGTACCTCAGGCTGGCTGGACAGGGTGCTCCTTTATATGAGCATCTCGAACATCTCAATGATAAAGGTAGTGGTTGATTTTGACAGTTTACTGTGTATTGGGCACTGAGATGAAGCCAGACATTAATATTTTCTTTTGTCCTTCTTTCCTCCCTCATGCCCTCCTTCCTCCTTTCCTGCCTTTCATCCTTTCTTTCATTTTCATTGCTAGGATAGAACCCTATGCACGTTAGAAAATCGCTCTACCACTGAGTGACACCCAGCCTCAAAGATGAATAGTCTTAACCAGTTTTGCACGATGATTCTGATCCATAGACACGCTTGGACCCATTAATCCTGCACCACCTGAGATAATCTAAGGAAAATTGCATCCACAAGATCGTTACACTAACTAAAAACTGTATAGCTGCAGATTTTATACTGCAGACATACCGAAAAGTGTGCACATCTTCAGTGTAGATTTTCATGTATTTTGCTAAATGAAGCTATCTCTACAGCCACCAAGAGAAGGAACATCGCCAGCCTCACTTGGGTGTCTTCCCACTTCAACCGCCAGAACTCTAACCACTACCATAGCCCCATTACTATCAGTTCTTATAAATGCTATCAGTCTGTACTCACTTGTCTGCCTTTATTTGTCTATACTTGTTTGCTTGCTAAGATCATACTTTCCAATTGCTAAAACTTCTAGATTAAATTTATAGAACAATGGCTGATGACTAGGATTCTGAAAAGCTGTCCTGAGAATTATTTTTGGATTTTCCTAGCAATAGAATCACTTAACCTGAACAGGGAAGGGCCAAGGGGCGTGGTCAAAGACCAAAAACCGATATGGGGCGGGGTCTTAGCCGTGGGGGCGTGGTCACGATCCAGCCTTTGGATGGCAGTTGGCCCTGAGGGGCAGGGATGGGCGGGGTTTCCGGTCTGCGCCTGCGGAATCGCCGTTTGACCCCGGAAGTGTGGAAGCTCCGGGAGCTGTCACCGGGAACAGAGGCGGCGGCGGCGTTACAGCGCCAGTGGTGAAGCCGCCGAGGTGAGTGGCTGGTCTTAGATGGATGCAAGGCCTCAGGTTCGGGAAGAGCTGCGGCCGTGCTTCGGGCGGCCTTGGCACGCCCACCGGCCCGGTGTCCACGGCGGGGAGGAGGCTCGCGTTGCCTCGTGGCGCAGAGGCTGTGAGCCGCTGCACTCCCAGCTAGGCCGCCCCAGGGTCGTAACCCCGGAGCCCCACCTCCCACGCCCGGGGCTACGATTTCCTCGAGGTTCATTCATTCGTTGAACAAATAGTTTTTGAGCTAGGCACAGACCTAGGCGCTAGAGATTAGAAAGTGAGCGAGACTGAGAAGCTTCTGCGTTCATGGAGCTGACAGTCTGATGGGAGGAATCAGTCGGCGATAAATAAACGCACACGGTAATTAAAGATATGACGACAGTTGGAAGAGTGAATACTTCAGAGCGATTTCCGAACGTTTCAGAGGAGAGTAATGTTGAATGTAAACCCGAAGAGTGATAGCAGTCAGAAACTAAGGTAACAGTAGCTCTGGGAATGCTTGTAGACCATGTTATAGTTGGCGATTGTGCTGCACTTTCTTAAGAAAAAGCCCTTTTTTTTTCTTTTCTTTTTTTTTTTTACCGCTTTGCTTTTGCTTTTCTACACTACTTTGGGGTATAGTGGTGAGCACAGATATAACCAAGATTATTGTCCTCGTCTTTTTAAATTCCTACTCATGCTTTAGGCGAAAACTCAAATCCTATTTGACATCCTCCTTCCCTCAAGCCTCTTCTTTGTGTAAATACTACCTGATCTTCATCTATATAACAAACATCATCATGTTGATTTTTTGACTATTCGATTTGTATCTGTCATTTCTATAAAAACGATAAGCACCGTGAGTGGTTATTATTTGCCCACCTTACTAGTCTGCAGGTGTCAATACCAGCCACATAGTAAGTACTGAAAAGTCACTGAATATATGAGATAATTAATACAGTTCTGTGTGCTCTCCAGTCATTCATAGGAGGCCTCTCCTGCACCAGGTTATCATCTTTGTGTATTTAGTTAGTTAGAGATACGGACTCCCAAAATCTCTAAGTTGCCCAGGCAGATCTCAAATTAGCTCCTTCTGCCTCAGCCTCTTGGAGGGCTGGCATTGTATCCATCCACTACCTTGGCCTGATCATCAGCTCTTTTTGATCATGTCTCTCTTAAGTAACTTTTCTGTCTTCAAATGAAAGCCCAAAGATTTTAGCATAGCGCTGCAGCCTGTTTTTAAACTGGCTGTCTTGCGTATCCTACTTCTTCCCTCTTCACTTCCGTTGTCTTTACTCTGTGTTTTTAGCAACATTAAATGTATCATGCCTTTTGAAAGTCATGCTTCTTATGGCTCTGAGCCTCTGCTCATGTTTGTTCTTTGCTTGGAATGCCTAGTGTTTCCTCCCGTCCTTCAACATCCAAATCCTGTTACCTATTTCATCTTTATTCCTTTCTCCCTTTCTCTTTGCTCTAGTTTTGGCCATTTCCTATTACAGCTCCAGCATTACATGATGGTCGTTTACATGCCCAGGACCCAGAATGCTGAATAAAAGAAAATCAAGAGCGGTTATGGAACTGTCTCAAGGTCTTAACAAGTGCAGAAAAACATGGAGCCAGGTTTTAAAGCCAGGCTGTAGGACCAGAGAGCTGTCTTTAACCAATGCATCAGCCTTGCCCAGAACTGCGGGGGTTTTTTTGTTTTGGTTTTTTTTTCTTTGTTTGTTTTGGGTTTTTTTGGTCTTTTTGAGACAGTATTTCACTATGCAATTCAAGCTGGCCTTGAACTCACTCCTGTAGCCCATGCAGCCCTCAAACGCACAGCAATTTTCCGGCCTCAGCCTCCTGAGTGTATGCATTGTAGGCACTGGCTTGTAGGAGTGAACTTTTTCTCTTCCTACCCACTCCCCCTTTTCCCCCTTTTTCTTTTTTGTATTTTAGGGAAGGGTCTACAGGGTGTTCAGGGTCTCACTACTAGATCAGACTCATAGTGATCCACCTGTTTGCAGTTCTTGCCTCCCAAGAGCTGGGATTACAGGTGTGCGCCACCATGTCCAGTCTATTACCCCTTTTTTTGAGACAGGGTCTTGCTAAGTAGTCTAGGCTGGCCTCAAACTCCTGGAAGTCCCCTGCCTCAGTCTTCCAAGTGCTAGGATTATAGGCAGGAGTGAATTTTTTTTTTTTTTTAATTTTAGGGAAAGATTTACAGGGTGTTCAGAGTCTCACTACTAGATCAGACTCCCTCCCAAGAGCTGGGATTACGGGCATACACCACCACACCCAGTCTCAATTGCCATCTCAGCACAGCAGGCTGGAGGACCCTTGGCCCCTGCACCTGTTTGCAGGAGCTTTAATCCAAGGAGGGTTTTTTTGTTTTTGTTTTTGTTTTTTGTTTTTTGTTTTTGTTGTTTGTAGAACCAGGGATTGAACTCAGGCCCTTGCACTTGCCAGGCAAGCTCTTATTCTACTGAGCCATGTCCCCGGCCCCAGCTGAGCTATTTGGCCGGCCCTACAGGAGTGAATTTTTTCTGAAAGCAGGTGTTGTCTCTACCTGTCTGGATCTGGACTCAGGCCTTGAGTTTAAAGGATGAAGAACTGCCCCCTCCTTACGAATCTCTCCCTACCTTCAGGTTTCTCTCTCCCCCTGACACTCCCACTACTGTCTTTGGTGGATGCATCTGGAACAAATTAAACCTGTGAGTCATTTAGGCCTCTTTACTGGTGTGTAGCCCACTGGTGTCTCCAGCTGCCTCCCCCCCCAGAAGCACTAGGATTTAGGGGGAAGCATATTTTAATATTTTTAGCGTAAGATCCCCACATGCCAAGGTAGAAAGATTGGACAGGACATTTAACTTGGCCACTTCTGCATTTGTCTTGAGCAGGTCAGGACCCACACCCCCTTTGATATGTGAGCATAATAATCCTTGCCATTATGGATTGGAGTTTGTAAGAGGCCAATAAAATAGTAACTTGATTAAAAATAATATAGCCAGCCAGGGAGATAGTTCAGCGGCATAAGCACCTGCTTGGCAAGTGCAATGACCTGAAGTCGATCCTGGTACAACAAAAAAATAAAAAATCACATAGCCAGGCACAATGACATGTGCCTGTAATCCTAGCTATTCAGGGGACTAAGGAAGAAGGATCATTTAAGCCTAGGAGTTCAGTGCCAGCCTGGACAACATAGTGGGACAGTGAGACTGTGTCTCCCCTATCTTCTCTCCTCCCCTCCCCACCTCTCCCTCTATTTTACTCTCTCCTAAAGAATGATTTTTTTTAAATTTTTTTTTTATTTTAGCGAAGGGTCTACAAGAGTGTTCAGGGTCTCACTGCTAGATCGGACTCATAGTGATCCGCTTGTTTATCAGCCTCCCAAGTGCTGGAATTATGGGCTCATGCCACCATGCTCAGTCTCAATTGCCCTCTCAGCATGCCCTGGGGGCAGGGCCAGCACTGCAGGCCCGGGGATTGGGGATTGAACCACCAGCCCCTGGACCCCTGCGCCTGCTTGCGGGCGCTTTAATCCACTGAGCTATTTGACCACCCAGAGTGAATATTATCTATGCTTGGCGAAGCTATTAAATGAAAACTATCCCCAAGCCCTTCATTACTTTGCTTTACTTTTCTTTTTAGTCTTCCTTCCTGAGGAAGGAAGTGGTGCTTACCACTGAGCTATATCTCCAGCTTTTTTCTTTTTTTAATTTCCCTGCATTTTCATTTTGAGACAGGGTCTCACTAAGTTGCTTAGGGTGGCCTTGAACTGCTAGTCCCCCGCCATAGCCTTTCCTGTAGCTGAAGTTGCAGGCATGTGCTGCAATACCTGACTTTTTCAAGATATCTTTTGTGTAGAGATTCTAGAGCTAGAACAGGCCTTTTAAAGACTAGACAGGCTAGTTCTTTCTCATTACATCACTCTAGAGAAGGGATTGTCACAGTCTTTAAAACAGACCAGGAGCCAGACAGAGCGGTACCCAAGTGCAGTCGCAGCTACTGGAGAGGCAGAATCAGGAGGATCATTTGAGCTCAGGAGCTCAGGGCCCTCTGGAAGACCTTGTCTCTTTAAAAACATAACACAGCCTAGAACCTGTGTACATTGTCATTTCCATGTCCTATCCTCTGCCTTCTATTTCTTCTGCCGAGGGGATCTTTTCCCCTATTATGTCTTCATATCACCTGGGCCTTTCCTGTAATCTGAGATACAGCACACCTGGTAATATATGGCTGGCCTGCCTCTTGGCTTATCTGTGAGAGCTCAGGAAGTGACAATTTCCTCTCCTCAACCTTAATCTGTTGTCATTGAGACCATACTAGCCTTAAATAGCATGCCTTCTGAGTAGCCTAATTTACATCCACTCCATGACTTGGTCAACCCATGTATCCATCCTGTGGGACAGGCCTAGTGGTATTGTGAAAAGATTAGATTGGGAGACAGGAGACCTGGGGTCTATCATTTCCTGGCTTCTTTGCTGCTGCTGCTGCTGCTGCTGCTGCTGCTGCTGCTGCTGCTGCTGCTGCTGCTGCTGCTGCTGCTGCTCCTGCTCCTTCTGCTCCT